GGCTAGCCTTTTTAAAAATGCAGTTGATATTCTCTGCAAAGTTGAAATGTTCATCAATTATTGTTTCTACAGTAGGTATTTCGAACACTGAACAAACCTCCTCGGGTTGATTAATAAGGGAGAGAGGTTGGAAATCTAACGTATATATCTAACAGTTCTACTGTATATACAGTACTCAACTAAATAATAGATTTTTAAATAGAAGGGTAAATATAGAAAAACAGGTCGCTGAAATAAGACTGTAATGTTTCTTAAACTAAAAATGTTTGATGAAAAAATGAAAAAAAAAATTGAAATCCTTTTTCTGCTGCCAGCTCGGGCCTTGTCGGCAGAGCCACAGTGCACACAGAGAGCCTCTGTTTAGAGCAGCACTGTCCACAGGTCTGAACGCCATGACAAGGGAGTCAGCATTGCTCTGCTAACATACAGTAGCCCTTCAAATTGAAAAGATGTTTTGGTCCAAGATGAAGAGAAATTTATTATAATTTCTAATTTCAGCGTGTCTGGCCCAGACAGCTGACTGGCAGATTTTTCCCCACAGTCTTTTTCCGCAGACAATTCACTGGGTACACTGGCAGCAGCCACCTCAGTCCGTGCCACTGGGAACAGTCCTGCCCTGTCTTCTGGCACTGAGGTACCAGCCGAAGCAAGGCTGCTCTCTCTCATGTTGGGAGAGTGTGGTCTCTCCCTCCCATGTTTTTGTTCTGTGCCAGTGCCGTCTTCACTGGGAGTAGCACTGGCGCCCAGGCCTCTGCCCGTCTCCCCTGTCTTGACAGGTTGGCAGAGTCTTCCTTTCCTCCGCCCCCATCATCTTTGTTCGGGCAGGTCAGGTCGACTCTAGCCCTTCTTAGAGAGATCACTTTATTGGCCGTATACAATTTCTTGTAAAATTGTATTTGTCTTTTCGCAGACCCCAGCTTGCTCTCCATGAGACACACAGACAGGGAGAGGAGCTGGGGGTCAGAGCACAGGGTCAGCTATTTATATGGTCAGGGCCAGGGGAAGGTCAGGCCCGCTCTTTGTCTGTGAAGGGGCACTCCCGTCTTTCTGCGACACGCACCCTAAAACCGTCTCCACCTTTTTAGCCGTGTAGCCTGACAGTGAACCTGTCTGGTCCTGTGTTATGCCCGTAACTCCAGTGGATCGTGCACAGGAGGTCACTGGAGAGTTAGCAAGGGAACCTGCTGCAGCCTCCATTCACTTACCCGCTCCACTGCTGGTCATGGAGCAGGAATGCTTGTTTCATTTGGTGTTCAGGGTTTGGGGGGCAGACTGACTGGGAGGCCAGAGGTCACTCCACTACCAAGTCCTTAGCATTTTTGGTTTTGTACGGTCCAGCCCATCTTCGAAGCCCGCGCCCTTGGAGAAGGTATTATCACCCATCACCCGGGACCTCACAGACAAAGGGGCATGAACGGCCACGATCTCGATGTAAGGAGAGGAGCAAGACCGCAAGACAGCAGATCCCTGGCCAGAGAGAAGAGCAAACGTGAACATGTGTCTTGTCAAGCAACTACTGGCTTGCAATGTTGTCAGTGAGACACATACTGTACCACTCCTCCCGTTAGAGGTTCGAGCAGGGAGCTGCGTCAGCCTGCATAGGCTGCAAAGGAACAGGCAAAGGTTGGTTCCCTGCTGTGAAACCTTCTTCAGGTTCGAGGGAGAGCGGGAAAGTGCAGTGAAGAAGGGGGCAGAGAGCACGGGGAAAATGGAGAAATAGCAGATGAGAATGAGTGTCCAAACTCAGGGAAAGCAGGAGGAGAAGTGTGGAAAACTGGAATCTGCAAATGAATAGAGATGATTTAGAAAGAGATCAGTCACCCATGTAAAAGGCTGGGCATTTTCTGCACGAGATGCAGTAAATGAGGTTGCTGGAGATACACTCCTCCTGTTGGTATGACAGCTCTTATAAGACAACGTGGAGATCGCAGCCTTCACACGATGAATGGCTTTAAGAAGAATGCAGCATTGCAATAGTAAGCTAATCAGGTCACCAACTGTCAAATCCAAATTGTGAAAGAACATAAAAAAGAACAACTCTTGAATCAATATTAGATAAAATAGAAGAAAAATCACAGAAATATACTTTCCATTCAATATGTACTGTATAACTGTTTAACAACTGTAGATGTTAACTGGTGAATAAGCATTCAGTATGTTAAGTTCAGCCAGAAAAATAATCTCCACATCTCATAGTTTGCTAAGCCTGTTTTTACTGAGAAACATGTAAGAACGTGTAACTGGTAACAGAAAAAAATATCCTAATGTTGCCACACCTTGGAAGCTCCCTCCTTTTTTCAAAAAGTGCCTGAGAAATTAATATTAAAATGCAGTAGTTTTTCTATGATACAGTACATTTTGTGACTATTCCACTGACTTTAAGGAAAATGAAACAATGCACCTCTCTTCTTCCAAAAAAGTGTGTTCACATTGCTGTGAAAGGCTAAGCTTTAGGTTTTATGATCAGGAGCACGTTGTAAACTAGGAAAAAATGACATCCCCAGTGGAACTGCAGCTGTTGCCTTTTGGGATCTTCTGTTGTTTCCTAGCACATATGCCAGTTGTTGTCTAATGTCAGATAGTCAGTAATTCATGGACATTCACATCTGTGCCAACTACAGAAGAGACAGACTCTTCAGTTGTTGGTGTAGGCAAAGAAGCTGAGCATATAAGCGCTGGCAAATATCCAACACTTCCTTAAAATGCAGCTTTTAACACAACAGTTGCTCCATACGTATTACAAAAAATAGCAATAGTTTTATGTCTTACATGTACCTTCATATGGTGCAGTACACACCACAAAACACACATCCTCCCTCAGAATCCTGAGTTTAAAGTCTTTTTCTACAGCTTTATAAGTGGTAACAAGACTGTAATGGGATCCATAAGTCGATTTAAGCATCGGATTCTGATCAATTATTGTTGAAATATATCTGACAGCATGCTCGAACAATTGTTCTGTTAGAACGTAAGGACGTAAGTGTCACGCATTCGACACGGGCTCACGAACGCCGTCACATTCCCATGCGCAGCCCCTCAAACACGCTCACTCCGCAACTAATCTTCCTATCGCCTGTCACTCCCGTCACTACTTTAACACTCCTCTTTTGCCTGACCATTCGTCACTATTTCGGATTTTCCTTGGCGCGTGTACCCTCCTCCTATAGCTTGTTCTATTCCTTGCTTCCTGACTCTCGCTCGATTCTGACCACGTTTCTGCCTTTGCGTTTTTTTGAAACCCACCACATCTGTTTTAGATCCCATTCCCACCCATTATTTGAGTCCTGCTTCTCTTCTCTCTGTCCCATTGTCCTCAATATTATAAATGAATCCATGAGCACTGGCTTTGTACCAATGGTCCTCAAAACTGCTGCCATTACCCCTGTGCCAAAAAAACCTAACATGGCTCTCGACAATCTTAACAATTTCCGCCCCATCTCCAACTTACCCTTTCTTGCTAAACTTCTAGAATGTGCTGTCACACTTCAGTTACATAACCACCTCATGACAAACAACCTTTTTGAACCCCTCCAATCTGGCTTCCGTCAACTTCACAGCACAGAAACTGCCCTGGTCAAAGTCACCAGTGATCTTCTAACAGCTTCTGATTCTGGTTCTCTTTCCATACTCATCCTTCTTGATCTCAGTGATGCTTTTGACACTGTTGACCATGACATCTTACTTTCTCATCTTGAGACTGTCTCTGGAGTTTCTGACACTGCTCTCAAATGGTTAGATCTTACCTCACTGATCGCTGTCACTTTGTCTCTCTCAATGGGTACAGTTCTGAAATTGGTCTTGTTAAGTCTGGTGTTCCTCAGGGCTCAATACTGGGCCCCTTGCTCTTCAGTATTTACATGTTTCCACTTGGTCAGCTTTTAAGATCACATGGCCTCAGCTTTCATTTCTATGCTGACGATACTCAAATATACATCCATACCAAACCTGACACTGATGTGGCTGTCTCTATTCTATCTAATTGCATCTCTGACATCAAAATTTGGATAACTCAAAACTTCCTTCATCTTAACTGCGACAAGACTGAAGTCATGCTTATTGGCACCCCCATCACCTTCGTAAAGCCAGTCCTGTAACCCTGTCTGTAGATGGTTCTGTACTTGAGGTTCAATCTAAATTGAAAAACATTCGACCCACATGTGCAGCATACTGTCAAAACATATTTTTTTCACCTCAGAAATATGCTATGCTATCACTAACTGTGGCTGAAAAGCTGATCAACACATTTGTGTTCTCCCGAATTGACTACTAGTGATGTACCAGATGTAGCTTTTCACCATAAGATGGCAATGCTGAGGCCAGAAGTGAGCATAAATTAGGCCTGTTATAAACAGAAGGAAGAGCAGAAAGGCACCAGCATTCTGGTGAAGCAGGTCTGAAGTACTGTATGTAATGTATCATAAAGCACCATAGCTGTGGTAGGTAGGCAGGTATTCTCTTATGTCAGGTGTCTTATCATTTAAGATGCACTAAAGCTCAATTGTTCCCATGAAAAACCTTGTTTGAAGTATAAGAGTATATACTGTAGTTGATGCAATCTTGACTTACAGAATCTATGCTCCATTTTAAAACCAGGCTTGATTACTGTGAATATTAAGTAATGCTTCCTAGTAATTGCTATTAACATGCAAAATACGTGCCCTCTAACTGTTTGGACACTTGAAACTGTGATTTTGTAGTTAAATAAAATGTAGCAAATAAATAAAAGAATGCATTTCTAAGAAAAAAGGACATGATCATGATGTGAAACCATAAACATGAATTAATGACATAGTATGTGTTAAGGAAGTAAACTGTGCATGATACAGGCAAAATGCAATGAGTAAAGTTGCAGTTTACCAGTAGTTGTAGTATTCTGCAGTTCTAGAAAAGTCTGAAGGCATAAAACGTGTGGGAATGTTGTATTCCTACAGTCCCTAACCAAACAACATGTAGTGCTTTAGATCAATCCAATAAACTTTTTCTTTCTGTTATTTTAATCTCTCATTTTTAAATGAAACAAAAAATACAAAAACAGCATATGGAATAGATTGATGAACATTATCAACTTAATATTAGGGACAATTTAAGAGTGTTAAATGAAAAACACATTAAGAAACATTTCTGTTTTCCATGAAGTGTCTTGAAATCTGAGTACTAGAGTACTATATATCCTGACAAATACCACATGCTTGACAAGTAGAACTCCTTTCACCCAAAACCTTCTTTGTAAGAGCTGCTTTCTGTTTTCAATCCTGAAATTAGCTGCACTTAATTTCCATTTGTACCAGTGTTCATTTTGGAGAAAAAAAGGAAAGGGACTTTCGAACATATATTCCTGAAGCCTTCTTTGCTCCAGCCAAGTGATGTGCAATTTTTTTTAAACTGGTTTGTTTGAGTCCAGCGTTTAGATCCTGGTGCAAGAGTGTTTTTCACTGTGTGCACTTTTTCCGGTGCTCTTTTCCCTGGAAAAAGAAGAATGCATGTCAATTTCCTGTCGAAATGGGACGAGTCAGGACAGGACACAGTACACCATCACTCATGATGTGCAGAAGAGTAGCTCTAAGACTGTGAAGACAATCAAAGAAGTTGCTGTTGGACACAAGATAAAGAAAACAACTAGGCAGTGGAATAAAAACAATAATGATAATATTAGTATAGTTAATGATAAAGGTAATGGTGGTAGTGATTGTGGCAGTAATGTTGGAGATGTATTTACAGTAGTGCAGGTGGGCAGCTGCATCAGCATGCGTAGGCTGCAAAGGAACAAGTAACAGGTTTATTCCCTGCTGAAAAGGGAAGAGAGAAAACACAACGTTTCGGCTGTGGAGCCTTCTTCAGGTGCTCACAGCACAGCCGAAACGTTTTGTTTTCTTTCTTCTCTTTTCAGAATGTATTTGTAGTACTGTGTTTTTTGTAGGGATTAATGTTTGAGTTCTCTTTTCACTGTGCTGTACTTTTGGATGGTTGTGTTTATGTGATGAATGTTGCTTGAGTAGGGTGAGGAGGGATTAGAACAAACCAGGTGAGACAGAAAAGGGAAAATGGGAGAGACACATGAAGTATCCGATTTGTGCCAAATGTTCTAGTTGCACAACTACAAAGAGGATTTAAGCGAAAACACATCCCAAGTGCCTTCATTTTTAAATCCTACACTAGTGCCAGCCGTGTTTTGGATTAAGAAAAAACACGTCTTTAGAGAGATCTTTTCATTTATTGCCTGCTACCTTGCTGGATGTGCAGTACTAATCTTAAAGGGACTGAGTTGGCAGTCTCCTTATATACAATACTGTATGTAGTCGCCATCTTCAGTGTTTTTGCAGAATATAGATGCAAGTGCCTTACTCCTGCTGTAGAACATGCAAAAACTGTTACTATTGGTGGTGGTGGAGGGGAGTCCCCATTACCTGTAAAGCGCTTTGAGTGGAGTGTCCAGAAAAAGCGCTATATAAGTGTAAGCAATTATTATAATTATTAATTAATTAATTAATTAATTAATTATTACTGAAGAACACATGTCACCTTTTTGATTGGTTAGGGGGAGCTATAGGGAGTTCATCAGTTCCGACGCGGACGTAGAATAGGAACTGGTAGTGAGGCACCACTTGCTCAAGTTTTGCTACAACTGAATGGGTGAGGGCGGTTTCCACACGGAACCCCCCTCCCAGAAAGTAAAAAAAAAAATCAGCTACGGTCCTGAAGACAAACAGGAGCCTGTCGAGCTGGAGAAGCTGCAGCTGGAAGGCTGGGGGGTGGTGGGAAGAGTCGAGAGTTGACACCGCACCTGTTGGACGCCGGCGGAAGAGAGGGGGGGAAAAGGGAGAGGGACCTCGTTGCTGTGGCTGCCTGGGCTGTGACTGGGGCTGTGGGCACCAGCGAGAGTGAGGGCTGTGACTGGAGAGGCCCTAACCTGTTACAGCTGACGACACACTCTCCACCCAGGGGGGTGCCGATGGGGGATGGTGAAGAGGAGCTTTGGCACAGGAGAGATGACCAGAAACAAGGAATGAGCGGGGACTGATTTAACAGTATAGCCCAGTTATCGCTAACATCATTTTTATTTATTTTGGCTAATGCTTTGATCCAGTGCAGCTTATTTTTGTCCCCATTTATGAAAGTACAGATTTTACTGAAGATATACAAGACATTGCTAATGTATTTCTATTTACAGCTTTCCGTTTATCCAGTCCAGGACCCTGACTACTACGCTGCACTGCTGACAACTAGTCCTTATAGAAAGTCATATGGAGTTTACCAAATATGAAGAAATCTTGAATAAAAGACAAGAGCTGGATCAAACCTTATCTTCATTACTTTAATGCCAAACATATGTCCGAACCAGCTTCAGTTTTCCTCAAGACGATACTGAATTCTTATCCATCTCATAATGTATTGTGGATGCTTCCCCCAGACAAACACATTCTGTCCTGGGACTGTGCATAATGTGGAAAAATGAATCCAATTATTGGAACTTCACCTGTTCGAGCCTTCCTCCACATCCTTTATTGTGTCAGGCAGAGGTGTGTGCGCGGTCTCCGGTAATATTAGCGAGAGCGCCGCGCCAACGAGCGGACACACCCCGAATATGACCATGGGGGCCTCCTTATTGTGAGCTCTGAGCAGGTAGATCAGTGGGGCGATGACTCCTCCTACACGAGCGCACATCGACGACATCCCGATGCCGTTCTGTCTACAACCAGAAGAAAGACATTCCAGTAGTGTTTCAAGTGTGTTACTTTTTGCATTATTGATTCAAAAAGCGTGATACAATTATTTACCTGGGATTTTTGCCAAACACCTTTATTTTAGAATAAGGAATAAAATATTGTCTTATAAAACATCAGCAAGGCTCTTTCTTTCTCTTTATGAAGACTTCACCCTTTAACATTGCACAAATGCACACTATTTGTGTACTTTTCCCAAATTTTCGTATTTTATATCAATCTTCCTTTTATTCTGTGCTGTACCATGCCGAATGCTTTTCTCTCATTGCTTTTCAACACTTTGTTCTACTTGTACAGTGCCAGGAAACAGATCTGGCATATTTGAGACTAAAAACATAATCAGATCAGCATGAAAGTTTCAATAAAAGATAGTCCAATTAAACATACAACACAAAAACATAAGACATGATTGGACTAATTAACAATATGATCCATCAGTAAATATCCTTGTGTAAATAAGTATGCAAACTTTTATGTGAAATACTCTTTTTCTCAGGTTTTCTGACAATCCTTTTTGATTGCAACATTGTCTTTCCACTAATCTGGATGGTGTCGACCAAAGCCACAAACTTTCTGTTCCTTATATAGAATAGGGCCGTCCAGACCCAGTTTTTGTTTACACTAATATGTAGGCACCAAACTAATTATCCACTTAATTGTGCAGAGAAAAACTAGGGGTTTACTTAATATTAGGAATATTTTGACTATTATTGTTTTTTATATTTATTATTTTGTACATCGTTGTCAGAAACATTGAGGTAGTACACATAGACCCATGTTACTTTTTAAGAGAAGGCTGGTTTAAATTAAACAAGGGTATTGTGGTCAGAAACTGCAGACTTTTTCTTGGTGCTGGAAGTTGGTATACCACAGTAAATGTGTGTAAGGGGACGCATGGAGCTCTCTACTCTTTCAGGACTTCAGCTTTCTGATCTTAATCTTCCTCTGCCCCCAGTAATACCTCTGACTTAATACAGTATATTGACTCAGCCTTCATGGTCCTTCTCTGACTCTCAAGCAAAGAGGCCTGTGACCCGAGATTTGTAACACTAATACATTAATAATTTGTAACATTTGTGGACTAACTGCATGTCTGTGTCTGTTTCCGCTGCGATTTTAAAAACTGGAATGGAGTGGGTATGATGGCTGATTAAAATGCTTCATGTTCAGCTTTGACACCGAAATATTGTAATCCAGACTATCTGCTAATAAGCAAAAGCAACTAAGACGTGGAATCAGTTTAAATTCAAGGATACTAAAAACCTTACAGGTTGGGACAGCTTGCTCTGTATTCCCTTCATTTACTGTACATACAGTACATGTACTGCATGTGCAGGTCTTCTTACTTTTCTTCTGTTGTTGCATAATTCTCACAACTACTACAATTCTGCCCTTATACACAAATAGGATATGAGCAGGTTATGTGTGAGCGGATTCATTGTAAAGCACTGTATTCCCAGAACACAGTGCCCTGTGCACAGCTGTATTTTATTACACATGCTTCCATCCACACTAACATCTTGCCTTACTGTCAGTTTTTACAGACATTGCCCCGGACTTTGATAATCATTCTGAATTTTGTCCTGGCAGACACACTGGCCAGTAAATAGCTGTAAGCTGTTTTGTGCTGAATGTGCAGCTGTATCGTTTTTATCACCCATCTGTAGCTCAATGAAGTACAAAATTGCTTTGCCATCACTTGCCTTTCATTTTACAAGTTAGCAAACCATGCATAAAAATTGTGGGCTGAAATTCCTGTTCTTTGTTATTAAAAAAAAATCTCAACAAACACTTTTTTTTTTGTCATTTAACCAGAGGTAAGGGCTAGCTCTTGGAAAGGAAAGAATGCGTATGTTCTTTCGGTTTCCACATTGCGATGATGTATTGGTGAAATGGTCAGCTTTATGTGTCCCGAAAGTTTAAGTATGAAACACTGGGTGCTGTGGTTGATAGATCTGACAAAGTGAGTTAAAGCAAACAAGACCTCCAGCGCGATGTGATTACCTGATGACTGTGGGAAAGATTTCAGCCGAATAAATATAAACAATGGATAAAGACGCAGTGATTCCAAACTTTCCTGCCATAGCCAAGGCCGTCCTGATGGTTGTCTGACCTGTAACAAACCAGCAAATCGCCTCTTTGAGCAAGTGAACACAGCTGAAAGGCGACGTTACGACGCTGCACGTCTAAGGACAAAATCGATTTCTGCACAAGAAACAACAAAAAAACAAATTTGAAGTAGCAACATTCTCAACAAAAACAATAAAAAACAAAACACGTTTCGTTCATTTACGTTGTTTTTTCTAAGAGCTACTGTAAGTCATAGTATTTTTTCCATTGCACAGCACCACCCAGTGATACAAAAACCTTCTGTATGCAGCGCTCGTTTTTGATTGATTCTGTACGTGCTCTGTAGGTCTGTCGTAATTGCTTTATGTTTATGAGTGTCAGAGTGACACAGGTCTTACCTTCAGGGACAGCGATGGTCAGCAGGCATGCCATCCCTCCCACAGTTAGGAAGGAGAACTGGGATATCTTTCGTGAGCGATTGAGGGTAAAAAGAGTTATTGTGCGAGCCGGCATTTCCACAAGACCAAAGATGAACTGGGTGAGGTAGATATTTATTCCAAAGTCAGAAATATTCAAGGACAGGCCATAATAAACCAGAATATTGACGAACCTAAAACAAACACAAAACAAAGACGCTAAAACAAGCGCAAAATTCACACCCCACACTGAAACAGAGAAGTGTTTTTAGATTATATTTTATTGTACTAAAGATAAATGTGTTGTGTTGGTGTATTTGCAAAGCTATTATACATGAAATTCTCTGATTTTTCACAATAATACTGTTTTCATGTTGAACTTTGTCCTGGTCCTAAATGTTTTCTGGAACTCACAATTAATGCCTCTTCTTCTATTGCACTGATTACTTCGAAGAATGTCAAAAACAGCTGTGCAGATTCCCAAAAGCAGACTTACCATAGGTAGAACAGTATTAATGACTGTATCCTCATCTTTGGTGTACGAAACAGATCAATGACTGTATACCGTTTCTTCTCCTCCTTACTGTTAATGGGGCCATTGGATTCCTGCAGAAAATAAGTGTGTGTTTTACTGCACTACAGAAGCAGTTATCGTCCATCAAAAATTCACCTTTAATTCTTCTGAATAGCAACTTCCTTCGAAATAAGTATGATGTGTAAGTCTATGTTGATTTTTCTCCAGAGAACAAAATAATATACATGTGTATTCTTTTCCCATAGCCGAAGAGCATATTGTAGCACCCTCGGGTTCACGTGGGTCAGCTCCCTCACCGCTGCCGCCTCAGGTCGGCCCCCCCACCTCTGGGGACTCGAACCCGGGCCTCCGGCGTCACTTAACAGGGACCCAACCAGTTGAGCTAAAGGGAAATCTCCCCTCAGCCCGGCGGCTGCGGTCCCTGCTATTCACAGGGAAGGGCGGTGACGTCACCGCGCTGGTAAGCCGGCTCGCACAACCTGTAATGTCGGCCATATGCGTTACAATATTTATAAAAACGAGATGAGGGCTTTTGTGCCCTAAACAAAGGTTTAATTACCTAAGACTGAAATTAACATTCTGATAGTTTTCTTTTTTACCAGTATGATCAAATCTAATACACCTGAAGTACTGTAAATGACATGCTTCTAAGCACTGTGTCGTCTTCTGCAACAACAGAGCTCTTGCTACAATGCCCAGACTATAAAAATCAGAACTGAAAAGGAGAAGTCATTGGGCTGTGGTTCAATTTGCCTAACCTGGAGAAGCTCTATGTCCACTGGAACTGTTGTCCCATTGTCTGCTGCTGCCTTGCGAATGAGAAGAATCGCTTCGTCTTTCCGCTGGTTTGCCAAAAGCCATCGAGCAGATTTTGGCAACACCCTACGAGCAGAGGCACTGATTCAGATCCCCAAATCCACAAAATGCTGCTGACACCAAAATAATAGAACGACATGGTGGAAGACACTTCCGACATCCAAAGCTTTGCAACCCTACAGTTTGACCCATTTTATGATGGCAGATCAGCTGTTCAGAATGAGCACCCATCAAAACTCACCTTCCCAAACAGTCAAGGATCAGAAGGAAACCGTTTAGCTAAACCTTTTTAAATAGCCTGCTTCAGATGGGATTAATCATTTCAATTTTGATAGCTGAGACTTTGAAAGCCTGCTGTACTTCAAGCATGGCCTGTTTTTCTTGTTCGGCCCCACGCCTGTTTTTAGACTGATGCTACGTTTGTATTTAAGCTTAGAAGTCTACATGAAGCCAGGGTTTCTTTGTCACCACTTACCAGATGTAAAAGATAAGTAAGAATCCAGGAGCTGAAATTGCTAGTTGTAATTTCCGCCAGTCTCTGAAAAGATATGCAACTCCTGCTAGAAGTATATATCCAATGCCAAAGAAATAGTCAGTAATGACTCCAGCAAGCATGCGATCCTTTGTGCCTGTCCATTCAGTACCTGAAAGGTCACAAAGAAAGTAAGTTGAGCACTCAGGATGCAAAGAGTGTTGTTGAACACAAATAATCTTTTCATCTGTTCTATTCTGTGGATGTCTAAGCAGGCGATTTCAGAGCTTTTCTTCACATGGAGCAAAGAGAACATATTTACTTAGTCCACGATTTTTATGGTAAATATGGGCAAGTATTGTGAGAAAACAGGACTTTAATATTTATTGACTGAAGCCTTTTTATGTATTCTTGTGTTCTCTAATTCATTCTACCTTGATTTCCATAATAGGAAACTATAACACTGCGAAATTTTCATATTGGTGACTAATATGCAGAAATTGTAATGTTAGAAAATAATTCCAGTAGACCTAACCAAATTTTCAAGTCCTCAGAGTTTTCAACCTGATTTCTGGTGGGTTTTTTTTCTTCTCTGCATGGATAACAATTTTCCATGTTTTGTAGAGTTTACCAAAAAGTGTTAACGTGCCCTGTTTGCTCCAGCAGGAAAAAAAAGAATATCTGTAATACTTAAATAAAACACACAAAAAACACCTTACATTGGGTCTTTCTTATTTAAGAAATAAATTTGCTTCTTTGTTTTTATTTGACTGACCTAAAACAAAGGCATTCATGATGACAGCAGAGATTGTTGTCCCAATCACAAAACGCAGGAACACATAGACATAGTAGTTGGGAGAGAAGGCTGCACCGACTCCAAAGACAGTCTGGACGGCTAAGCCAAGCAGAATGATACATCGTCGGCCATACCTGCACAAACAGAAATCATTTTATCACACTCCAGCTACCATGAATCACGTACAGAAAAGGAAGATGGCTGGCTCATAATCTAAATAATTAGTTGAGCCAAGTGTGGAAAGCCGAATTTATTATGACTAAAATTCCTGAGTGTTGCTATTCCTATTGCAATTCGAAGTGTTAAAATCAGAACCGCGGGTAGACCCCAGAGTGTTCGTTTTATAAACTCCTCGAGTTAGAGAGTTGAAAATGATTCCTTTGCACCTGAAGACCCCCTGGACAATCTCTGAGGACCCCTTGCTGAAAAGCCCTAAGCTGTAATGAGATATTTTCAGATTTTCTGCATGCTGTAGCCAGTGGATGATGATAATGCATCACCTTTGTGTGAATGTGTGGTCAGAACATGAGCACATTTTTGCTGGCTTATTATATTGATGATGATTACTGTCAATTATGTCATTAACCAGCACCTATTTTGAACTTTTTGATCTAAGAGCCCAATATACAGATGAAACCTAACTGGCACTTTACCAGCAGTGATCAGTCTCATAGTCAGACATGATGTAGACTGATTACTCACACAATACCACAAACTACAGACTGGTTGATTGAAAATGCCTGTACCCACATGTTTTTCTGCATTAAGACTGAAAATATGAAAGGAATACAATGATTGTCACAGTGTCATGTTTTGCACATATACAGTCCATTCATGTATCACATACAGTACTGTACAGGAGCTTCATTGCTTGCAATTGCTGTGCATCCAGCTTTCTGGTTGTGAATATCACACTCAAAATGCTCTCTGTATTTCACAGGAGGTGGAGACACTTGTGGATCCCCAGAAATTGAACCTATGACCATCTCTACTTGAAGGTGTATTAAATGTAAGTTCAAAAGTGCAGCACTGACATTGTCCTGGTAATATTCTCATGTACACATTTAAAAGGATAGAAACAATTATGCACACGAAAACTGCCATTGACTGCATATTATGAGAAAGTGTTGTCATTGTGACTTCATTGCAGACTATGGGCGATTGGATGCAGACCAGAAACCAAAATTGGAGCACTGATTTAATTACCTGAGAATAATGATTCTATTGGAAGAAACTACAGGAAGAATGTTGATTGCAGCCTTCACAAGTAACACTGAGAAACATGCCTGGCACTGCTTTTATAAAAGTGGAAAGACAGGTATTTTCGTTGAATCAGTCTCTGGAACATTTCACAACACACCTGAAAATAAAATCTTAATTTTGATTTCTAACTTCGAGGAATACAGTATCAATACCTTTCTTTGTGTTATTTACGTTAAGTCATGTATCAATATGTAATAGTGAACTTGATTTTGTACTGTACAGTATGTACTTCTTAAGCTTTTCTTTGTTATGTTGTAGCATAACCTTTAACTGAAATGAATTCCTGTGTCTTTCACGTTATTTCACATGTGTTGTCACAGGTATTGCAGTAAAAAAAGTTTTTCAAGAAGCAGTTTTCAACAACGGCTTACTTACTTATCTGCTAAAGCCCCATAGACCACTGCTCCAACCAGAAGGCCAAACATGTAAATGGAAGAGCCAATGTTGTTCAGCTTGGCATTATCACAGACAAGATCCCACTGAGCAAAGAGAAGAAACAAATAAACTGCAGATGCAAATAGCCAATCTGTTGCTCATTTATCTCTAGAAGCACAAATCTCTTTTTGCTTTTCTTTGGTTAACAACGTTGTTTGACCTGAAGTTGTCTTTTCTTTGCATTATATAATTTAATTTTGGCATTCCCACTCCCAAAACATGTTTCTGGGTCTTTTGCTTGTGTCACAACCTCCCTGTTTCCATTGTTTTGCCATAGCTAACCTGATCTTCTGTTCTCAGGCCAGGTTGCCCTGGGCTGACAGTCAATAATTAGAGGGTGTCCTTGATAAGCCCTGAAAGACGTGAACACACAATGAAAGTCTCACTTTGAAAAGACAATGGTCCTACCTCAGTCACAATGGTGCTTTGAAAGGTCTCCTTGCTGTACTCCCAGCCTTCAGTGCAGGAGGTGGCAGTGGAATTGTCTGTTGGAGGCCATGAGTGATTGTGGTTGTTAGGAGCAGACTGGGGGCTGTAAGCTGAGCAGGACAGGTCAGATCCCTCCGAGCTGGCTGTCAGACTGAAGTTCAGGATCTCGCTGGTTCCAGGGCTGGAGGAGAGCCCAACGGAGGGGGCCCGGCACCGGTGAGGGGGGATGGCTCCAGTGAAGATGGACACCAGCATGTGAAACCCCAGCAGGATCTGGGGAAGACAAATCCACACATACAGGATCTTCTGGAACTTGCCAAAACCCCCAATGTGATTAAGCACATCATCAAAATTCATTCTGAGGCTCTGAATCCAATTGTGTGTGTATGCAAGAAACGTTTTTCTTTTAAATTTAACGCAAAAAGTCAGTAAGGCTACTGAAAAAGCAGGCCACAGGTGAAAGAACTAAAAAACGTTATCTGTGGAAACACTTGATCAAATGTTAAAGACCAAGCAAGCCCTTTATTAGTTATGCAAGCTTCTTCTCTGCAAACAGGATGAAAAAAATTGCCTGCTGTGAGTGATATAAGCTCTCTTGGAGGAGTGAAAAAAGTCTTGAGGAGGGGCTATCAGCTCAGATCTGAATAAAAGGTGGAGTTTCATGTACATGTGACACAGCTGTGTTACAAAACATTCTTAAAAGAGGGTTTTAGGTGGTCAAGGCTTCTTACATGTGATTGTTCATACTGTATGTCTTATAAAACAATCGACTGATGTATCAGGTTTTATCTATCAGGCAGAAATTTAAAGCAACAGTTCTGACACTAGCGGAGAAGTCTAGAGAAGTTTTGCACAGGCTTGGCTTCTCCACTTTTATGAGGAAAAAGCTTTGCAGATGGCTTCCCTCATGGGAGAATTACAAAGCAGAAATGAAACCGTGAGATAAAAAGGAGTTTACTGCTTTGATTTTAAATTTACCACTGCATGTGTCGTCTTTCTCTGCATACATAAACACAAGGCACATACTGTAATACATAATGTCTATCATTATTATTGGTTACATCAATTGTTCTGGTAATTCACTAATGGGCGACCTGTATTTAGTTTTTACCTGCAAAATTGTGTGAATATCTGACTTTGAGGAATTGTGCAAGGATTTGATAAACATGCTGGAGTGCGAGGAATAATTTTAATATAGCGTAAACATTTTTGTAGCAGCTCTTAATCCCTCTCATAATCTCAGTGTCCCATGTTGGGCGCCAGGTCCTCCATGTTGGAGGTTGGGCACAAGGCTAACAACCCTGTCCTGTAAGACACTAATGTTACGGAAACAACAACAGGATGTTGCTGCCCCTACATGCCCAGGAGACATAACGGACAAACATCCATCCATCTTAATCCCTCTATAGTACATACTTTATATGTTCTTTGAAAATATACTCAACTCCTTGCTGTAGAAAGCAAATCAAATATTTGTGTAAGGTTGGAATGTCATGTGTGGTTGACGACGCCTGTCATTGAAATCATTGCTAGAGGTGAGCATAACCACTCTTCCAGTATAATTATTTTAATGTCAATTCCAAAAGATTTTGTTTTCCAAGATTACACAACTAAATAACTCTCACTCGGCCCTATCGTGAGATATCGCTTCTAAACCTGAGTTCCAGCACTGTAACCCACAGCTGCCTTTATCAAAGGCTAATAGAAATTCTAACCTAAAGAACTTGTAACTTCAGAAATGGTTATATCACTGCTATCTTGTTTTAAAAGGTGTTGAGCACAAGCATGCCACTCCTTCATTGTCACCCATTGGTGGGGCGATGGTGTGAGATTCTAATACACAATGTGTGATACATATATGTTTTTAAGTAATAAATGCTTCAGAATCTATATTTGAATTAAAGGCAAAGTGACCTGTCCTGTGATTCTGAAGCACATTGAATGAATTAAAAGTAAACAGTAGAATAAATCCAAGTAATAGGCACTAATCCAGTGAATGTGTTTTGTAACAGGTTTACATCATTTGTTGTGTCACCTTGGCCGGAGAGCTGTTGTCATTACTGTTCACTGTAACAGTATCCTTCACCTTTTCAGATCTAGCCTTTCCTCATCCGTCTTTGCTGACTCAAATTCCATGTGAATGAGTTTACACCGACACATTAAACCACAGCCTTGTTCAAACGTCACAAAAGAAAGAACCTCCGAATGCTGTTCATTTGGCTCTAGTAATGTTCCTCACATACTGTACTGCTCATTCCTCACTGTCAAGCTGAGTTGCACTTTGGCTAAACAGGAAGCAATTTAGATTTACCTGCAATCCTTACTGGACCCAGGGGACACTACTGTGGAGCAACAGAGCTCTCAAAGCAAATTGTAAAAGAAGATAAAACAACAGAACAACCGAATGTGTAATACATTGTAGGTTCCTGGCGATGGACTGTCCTATGACCTCTGCCTATTCCCCCTTAACAGACTCACTCTTTCCTCTTCTCCTGTATTCTGTCTCTGTGTCCCCGTGTCCATCCAGTCAACGATCTACATACTGTATCTCCCTGAAGTGACTAGCACTCCCCCCTTCACAGTACGACAAATGTGTGTGAACCTGCTTCACATTGATCAAGCCAGTCTTTTCACACCACCTACACTAGGAAAACCAGAGTTCACGCATTTAGTAGCACCAATGAGGCAAATATTAGAAGAATAATGAGCTCCCATTATAATTCCAGATTATGTATCTAAACAATGCAATTTATAGCAAAATGACTATGGTAGGAGAATTAATATCCATGAGGAATAATGCAATTAACTTGAGATCAGTTCCCACCACATACAGTATACTGTAGGCCAGACAAGTGTAGTATCTGCAGCTGTGTAACCCATAAAAAGCAAACAGAAGTAGGGAAGACAGGTATGTTATTAATCTTACTTTGCCAATGGATTTGATGTGCCTGACGGTGGAAGGATTGATATTGAAACTCTATCCCCTGTGTAGCAGCAGCCAGTTGACCAGTATCTGATGCACTTTCTCATGTCTCCTTCCACAGTGAGACTCACATGTGCACGGTGCTGCTTATGAATCGCACTTAGTTTTGCACTAAGACCTGATTTCCCAGTCCCACAAGTACGTGCACCCGCAGCTCGTTCACCTCAAAACATCCTGACTGTCGGCTCAAACTATGTGGTGTAACGGCACATTGCTACGTCTGGTGCCCATCCGCTACAAAACTCACCTGACCGACGCCGCTGGCGCTTGGTGCCTTGCAAAACTGGGTAAGTGCAGATCTGTGTGATGTATAATGAACTTCATTTCCTTAATTAGTTAATGCGGTACAGTACATGCAAAATGACATATGTAGAGGTAAATAGTTTGGAATCATCACAATTACACCTTTACGCCTGGGCTCATTGTAACAGCTCCTGTACTCACGTGGGGAGTATTAGATTAATCTGATCTGCACACCCATCACACCATTAATCTTTTGGCAGGCGACAGCCTCCACGATGACACCCAAACCTGTGAGAATTGACAGAACTTCCCATCGATCAAAGAAATCTTCCTTTATTGTAGTTACTAGATCGGGTTGGAAGTCAGTACCACCTGTATCTAGTTAAATCATTTCACGTACCCGTCATCACATCACAGTATTTAAGATCAGCATCAGCATTATTTCTCTGCTTAGTCTCAGTGCTTGTCACAAGTCTTGGTGTCCTGCTCTGTGCATGCTACTTTAATCCTCTGGTTTCACTTGGCCTGTTGCTGTGGGCTACTGTATCTCTGAGCCCTGCCTGCTTCTCAGCTATGTCTTTGGATTTCCCTGCTGGTACCTCAGCTACATGTCTTCTCGGCTTGAACTTGGTTTGTGATGACTATGGCTTGGACATTCAAACGTTACCATCATAGTTCTGCGCACAAACTATAGCTACAGCCCACTCTCTGTGGGTTATGTGGGTTACACAGCCAGCTCGCCATGCTTTAAAGCATCAGTTCTCTAAATCATGATCAGCAAAAACACAGGGTCCTCATCGGGCTTAGTGTTCTCTTCTCCTTTGCTGTGTTTCTTTGTAATAAATGCATCTCCCCACCGCGAGCCAGATCCCTGCTTCATTGCAAACACATCCATGGAGGAAAGAGTCTGCTCATATGGTAACGGAAAAAACACCAAACCGTCCCACATTGAATAATAAAGCAAAAAATAAGCCCAGTGTTCTATGTATTTTATGTCAGATAGTAATATAATGGGTTAGATTCAGTCTGTTGAAAGATTCAAATCCTTGGATCAATTAATAGTGTCCCAGTAGTGTCCCCATGTTTGTAATTTTTCTGTTTATTGTTGTATGGACCCATGCCGAATAGTCTGAGGTTATTAGGCTGTCTTAGGATTGTTTTACAGAAGGTGGGCACACAGTGTATTGTCTCATTAGATCTCAAGGATGACGAGAGAGATACATTCATAGAATAATAATTTAATAATAATAATAATAATAATAATAAAAATATCCTTTATTTTATATAGAACTTTTACAGTACCATTATTCCTCTTCCTTTCAGTGGTTTTACAGAACATATAGACTACAAATGTCCCACTCTAGGCAGCAATGTAATATGAATGTGATGATGCATATAATTTTCATGTATATTTATCATTATATATACATGTAGTATGCATAGTCAGTACACCTCCTCTCGTTTGTAACCTTTCCTGTCTTCTTATGTGTGTCTCTGAAGTTGGAGGTGCCAGGAGCAGGGATCTGACTCGCGGTGGGGAGATGCATTTATTACAAAGAAACACAGCAAAGGAGAAGAGAACACTAAGCCAGATGAGGACCCTGTGTTTTTGCTGATCATGATTTAGAGAACTGATGCTTTAAAGCACAGCGAGCTGGCTGTGTAACCCACATAACCCACAGAGAGTGGGCTGCAGCTATAGTTTGTGCACAGAAATATGATTTTAACGTTTGGGTGTGTGGTGCCTTTAAAATAACTATAAACTCTTATTGTTTAGATGTGAATCCAAGTCCTGCACCGCAAGACTTGTTCTTAAAACTGTCTGGTGGTAAGAAAAATCACAAAATTGAATCTGACGCTGGCCTATCAGCACTTAACTTTGGCTAATGATGCGAAACCATATATGCCTATAAATACTCACAAGAGTTTATTACAGTTAACAGCATGCCTTATGGTGCTGCTCCGTGCTTTTGCTGACTTTCAGAAATCTGTGTATCAGATTTTGTAAGGGCTACAGTGACAAAAACAGTTTGCAAACCCCTTAGGATTTTCATATATTTCACATCTTTGTAACCCGAAGTGTTATTTGATATTAATCCAAGCCCTACTAACAGATAAGTGATCCTGGTGAAACTAATTACATAAAACATGTACTCTAAAATGACGCAACATTCAATATCCATGTGTGACGGAGTGTGTGAATCTTTATACGCAGTATCTGGTGGTGCCCCCTGTAGCAACAAGCACTGGGACTTTGCTTCCTGCAGCCGTTGAACGACCTCTCACAGAAGTCTGACCCCGTGCTCCTCACACGCCTCTTT